TTAAGAAGTAAAAAAATAAAGATAAAACAAAATTAAATTAAAAAAAAGTGTTAAACTTTAAAGAAAAGACAAGGAAAGAAAAAAATAAAGGTGAAATAAAAGGTATAATAGAATAAAATAAAAGATAAAATAATAGAATAATAAATAATAGTAATAAAGATAAAAAGAGGTTTTTAAAAATTATTTTTAAAATAAAAGACAAGAATTAAATAAAAGAAAATAATTAAATAAATAATCTAAAGAGATTGAGATAAAGAGAAACTTAATGAAAGCACCTTCAGACATCAGTTTTGCCTCAAATTCTTCGGATCATCGAAATTGATTTTTTACTTCAAGATTCACGTTGATTACTACAAGAACAATTCCTTGCTTCCGACTTGGATTATGTTATTTCAAAAATAATTGATTCTGATCTCTGTTTCCTCTCAGCAAACAATTTTGCTAAGTGTGTTCTCGGAAAGTCGAATATAAATTCTCACTTTTAGGACTGAGTCTTCGCTTTAGCCTTCGGCATAAAAGAAAATTAGCTAAGCATGACCAAAGTCATACTTAACATAATTGTTGAAAATGAAATTTAAAAAAATGTGCGAAAAAAATAGAGAGAAAGCTAGAGAAAAAAAGAGATTTTATTCTCAGATCTATGTGTGAGCTCAAATGTGTCTTCTTAGGCTTACCCTGAGAGGGTATTTATAGCCTTCAAATTTCTAAAAACAAGTTAAAGATAATTCCTAAAATAATATATTTTATCCTAATTAAAACACTTAAAACTATTTAAACTAAAATACCTAAAACAAAGATAAAATAAAATAATATTTAAAATAAAATCCTAATTGAAATACTAACATCTATTTAAACTAAAATACAAAGATAAAATATAATATTAATATATATATATATATATATATATATATATATATATATATATATATATATATATACACTAAATAAGCCCCGGACGAAAATGAGTTTCTACAGCTGCCCCTCTTTGTCCTTTTTCGTGTAATGAAAAAATAGAAAAAAGATAAAATGACACAACTTTTCGTTCGATAGTTGCGGATGACTTCTTCGTCGCGAAGTTGGGTCAGTCTTGAAATGATATCCTTCTTCATGAAATCAGAATTTGAATCGGAAGGTGGCTTCTTGTTGCCAAATCGTCGTCAACCTTGGTCTTCTTCTCGGTTTAAAGTTCTCGGTTTGAAAATTCAACCGAAAAGTAGTTCCTCGATGCTACCATATGGTTGATATGCCCTCGAGTTGAATGGAATCAAACTCGAAGGTATTTGTTGACAGATAGCCCTTCTCGTCTAGAGTTATGCTGTAAATTCGGCTGGGAGATAGTTCATTTTCGCTAAATCGCAGCCAACCTAGATCTTCTTCTTGACTTAAAGACCTCAGTGTAAACTTTAACCGGAAAGTAGTTCCTCGTTGATACCATGCGGTTGATATGCTTTTGAGCTGAATATAATCGAATTCGAATGTTTTGTTGACATATAGCCCTTCTCGCCTTGAGCTATGCTGTAAATTCGGCTGGGAGATAGTTCCTTGTTACTAAATCGCAGCCAACCTAGGTATTTTTCTTAACTTACAGACCTCAGTTTAAACTTCAACCGGAAAGTAGTTCCTCGTTGCTACCATGCGGTTTATATGTCATCGATCTGAATTGAATCAACTCGAAAGTTTTTGTTGACATATAGCCATTACCGCCTTGAGTTATGCTGTAAACGGTTCCTCTAAGTGAAGGATGGCTCCCCTTCACGGATCTAAGCTGGTCATAATTCTTTAGTTGAATCCCCTTCACGGGAAAGCCAAGTGGTATATTCTTCAGGTGGTTCCCCTTCGTGGGTCTGAACCAGGTGATATGATCTTTGGATGACTCCCCTTCACGGGAAAGTCATGTGGTATATTCTTCAGGCGGTTCCCCTTCGCGGGTCTGAACCAAGTGAGATTATCTTTGGATGACTCCCCTTCACTGGAAAGTCATGTGAGATGTTCTTCGAGTGACTCCTCTTTGTTAGAAAGCCAAGTGAGGTAGTCTTTCAGCCGTGACCAAATAATAATAAAAAATTACAGAATGCCTTCCTTTTAGTGAAATTTCCATAATTTGACGTCCTGCACAGAAAATGAACAAATAAGCCACAAAAACCAATGATTAAGGAGTAATTTAAAAGTAAAATATTAACTAAATCAAGCATTTATCAAATTCCCCTCACTTATTCAATGCTCGTCCTCAAGCATTCCTCAATTAACATATCAAAATCATAAGTTGTCATCTTCAATTTCAATTTATTCCTCAAACTTCCAGTCAAACTAAGTCCATGACATTTGTCGAATTTAAGTTACAATCAAGCAAAGACACAACTAGGAAAATTTAAAGTAAGTAAGACATCCCAATAAATTGCCAATTTTAATAAAACATGAATCAATACCTCACAAAGATACACATATTCGCTTAAAATGTTTGGGGTGAATGAAATCGCTCAAGCCGAAACTAACAAAAACATTATCATAAACTTGGAATCCAATCAAGTCTCTACTACGAAAAATGAACATAATGCAATAATCAATGGGTCTTTAAATAAGGTGTAACGGGGCTTAGGTTAGGGTAGGGAAAAGGCCAAAAAAAAGTTTAGAATACCAAAACAAGAGACTGAAATAATTAAGAACAATCCATGAATTTACATGAAGTGCAATGAAACAAGGAAAAAGAATAGATGAAAGATAATTGAAATGATCGATTTTTCATTCTTCTTCTTTTTTTCTCTGTTCAAAACAGTGAACATTTTTTCTTTTTCTTTTTTTTTTGTCGTGGAACAAAAGTGATACAAGATCTCATGTCTCGGCAAGGGTGTAAAAAGAGAGGAAAAATAAAAATAAAGGCTTCGGGTTTAATTATGAGGTGTAAAATAAAGAAAGGGAAATAGACTTCAAATGTGGTTCACTAGTGGATATGTAAATGGGTAGGTTTTTTTGGGGAAAATGGGTTTATCCTAGGTTCCCCTATCACATTAAAACATTATGTTCAACATGTTGTCTCGATATGCATTGTGATTACAAGTTTTAGAATATCATAATTAGTCCAACACACACAAGTCAAACAATGAGCAAGAAAGAAAATGTATGATCGTTAGGCTCAAATCTCTCAAGAAAAGTTTATATGCACCGAGTCAAATTCATCTCTATCGACAAAAGCATGAAATATCAATACTCAACAAAAAATTCACCAGCTATACCAATCACCAATCATGAAAATTAATTCGATCAAAACATGATCACAATCCAAAAGAAATCAAGAGTATAAAGTGAAGTTCAAGACTGGCAACCAACGATCCCAACACATCAATATCAGAATAACTCAATTTCAATCAATCAAACAAGTCAAAGAAACTTTGACGACATGCTTATCTTTCCCACCCTCATTTAATCTGTTTTGTCCTAAACGTATGTCGAATTTAAAAACAAAAAGAGGGAAAATGAATACTCCCCAATCTAGGGGTGAAAAAATTTGGACCATTTCTCGATTTGTGCTTGCCATCCTTGTGCAGGGGCCATGCTAATCTTCGTCTGGGAAGTCAAAGTTTAGTGGCTCGTAATTTTCAACAGTTCTGCTTGCCAAGAAATCTGATATGAGAGTTCCCTTTATAGCTTTTTGTCTCACATACTCGATGTCAAATTCAGATAACAGTATCTGCCATTGGGCTTTTCTATGGGAGGATATCTGACCTCGCAATCAGTGAGTTCCCATCAGAATTCACTTCCATTTAATCTGACCAATCTTTTTTCTCGGTTTTTCTGAATTTCTTTCCTCTTCTGTTGTTGACTGGGCCGAAAACCAAGCCCGAACTAGTTTAGCTTTGTTATAGGAAGGACGAGATTGATCTTTTCTTGCAACAGACTCCCAAATCCTCTTTCTATCTTGGCACCTTTTCCCAAGGTCTGTTTGATCTCCATTTTAGTGCATTCAGAGAGCCGGGGTTTAAAAATCTTTCATTCTTCAGCCACAAATGTGGCATTCACAAACTCTAAGGAGTGGAATGAACATTCTAACGCTTCATCAGTTACTTCTATGTATGGGGCGTCAGTAGTCACACTTACGACAATATCTTCTTCAGCATTAACAATTACCAGAGCCCTGTCGATGACAAACTTGACTTTCTGGTGCAGCGTAGATGGTACTGCTCCAGCTTGATGGATCTAAGGCTTGTGGAGGTATATCTGGTGTTTGTTCCCTCTTCTGATGAGATAAAATGCAAAATATGTCTAAATGCATGATACATGAAATGTTCGAGGCATTGATCCAAAAACATGTCTGTTATTATGAATAATCTTTATTGGGACAAAAGTGTTATTTCTTAAGAGACAAAAACCTCCTAAAGGTACATTCTGACTAAGTCTTCTAGACCCCGAACAGCTTCTAACAAGTTGAATAGTCTTCTACCTTCGTCTGTCACCAGTTGAATATCTTGTCAGACCACTCTAACTTCTCAGGCTAAACTGTGCAAGTATCGAGCTGCTTTTTGTACTTGTTCCAAGAAGTCTCGAATAATTGCATCTCTGCCTTGCACTCTCTGCTGAGTCTGTTCCCTAACAAAAATGCCATTGGAGCCCTCCATCGATAGGAACTATCTGAAGTTCATTTGCTTGTTTCTTGAATTTGTCAACAACGACCTCCAATTTCAACTATCGTTTTGCCATCATGTTTTCTTTTTCATTGAATGGATCTCTCCATGTAGTAACCTTTTTCTCATTTTCCCCTGCAACATTTGTCAACCCATTTTTGAAAAGATGAATTTGATGACTTGGTGTAAGCCTGGTCTATTCTGATTCCTTCACAATGTAGTATAGTGGTATATTCTTTGATTGTGGGCACCACATCTTCTTGATTGAATGTGACACATGGTTACCCTGTAGATTGTCTCCTTTTATTTCTGAGTCTTTTTTTACCATAGTCGGACCTCTGCATTTTTCACCTCTTGTATTACAACTCCTTTATCCATTAATGCAAATTATTTATGTTTAACAAACATGTTTTTGTGGATCAACACCTCTTTTGAATGTTGTAAATAATAAAAAAACAAAGTAAAATAAGACAAAAATGAAAGGAGAGAGAAAAAAGTTAGTGAGATAAAGATAATAAACAAAATAATAATGAAAATAAAAGTCCTACCCCACATGATATCTACCCCATATGCTTATTCCTACCCGGACATGATCTCTATCCCGCATGTTAATTTTGGACAAGTCCTAACCTCATATCTGTCTAGTTCGCATGCTTTGAACAAAAGGTAAATTAAGAAATAATTCAAGATAACCTAGGTTTTGAAATGAGGTTTCGAGGAGGGTTCTAATTCCCTGTAGTCTCCTGGTTTAAGTTCTAAAAAAGATGCCAAAGTTCTCCTTGCTGGTGCCCCATTGGGCTTGCCAAACGCTTAGTTATAAGCCTATTACAAGCTTATGTGGACTAAGTTAAACTCGAGAATATACATTCCCTTATGCCCATACAGAGAATAAATTCACACGAAGACATAAGGTATATAAATCCCAAAGGTTACTTGCTAGACCCGCATGGAGAATAAATTCTCACGAAGGCGTTGCTTTCAACCCCACTTAGAAAGGTTTAGAGCTCGGGTATAGAGTCAGAGCTGAAAAATTTTCAAAAATCTGAAATCATTGAAAGAAAACATTAGTACAACTATTTATTTAAAAATTAATCAAAGATAAATAATTAGAATCGAATAAATAAATTAGAATTTAAACTTATAATTTCCGCTCAAAAAGACAACCAAAATTAATTTTGGCCTGACTCACTTACCTATCCCCAGTAGAGTCACCAAGCTGTCACGGCTGTCTTTCGGTTGGGCTTGGTATTGGGCTTCGACTTAAATAAAACATGTTAGAGTCGCCACCGATCATTTAAAAAATATTTAGGTTGATCGGACACCATCTTACCTGATCTGTGTTTTACCAAAAATATGTCGGATGAGTCGGTTACACTCAAGGAAGGATTAGCACCCTTGAACTGCTCTTTCGATACCATTTTAATTTATCGGTTGTCTTAATTACGAAAATTAAAATTTAAAGACTCGATTCGAATTACTTACCTTTGATCGATTAAAATTATCTCTAAAAAGTTGAAAATGTTAGACTATAAAATAAAAGAAATATCAAATTAAAATTAAAAAATAAATCAAAGAAGGAAATATTAAATTTAAAAAAAATGTTAAATAAAAAATGTTAAAAGAAAAATAAAATAAATGAAGAAAATATTAAATTTCAAAAAAGAAAAATAATAAAATATAAAAAATACTAAAAAACAAAATAAAAACAAAATAAAATAAAATAAAATAAAGAAGTGGAAAAATAAAGATAAAACAAAATAAAATTAAAAAAGAAGTGTTAAATTTTAAAGAAAATACAAGGAAAAAAATAAAGGTAAAATAAAAGGTATAATAAAATAAAATAAAAGATAAAATAATAAAATAATAAATAATAGTAATAAAGATAAAAATAGGTTTTTAAAAGTTATTTTTAAAATAAAAGGTAAGAATTAAATAAAAGAAAATAATTAAATAAATAATCTAAAGAGATTGAGATAATGAAAAACTTAGTGAAAGCAGCATCAGACTTCAGTTTTGCCTCAAATTCCTCGAATCATCGAAACTGATTTTTACTTCAAGATTCACATTGATTACTACAAGAACAATTCCTTGTTGCCGACTCGGATTATGTTGTTTCAACAATAAATGATTACGATCTATGTTTCCTCTTAGCAAACAATTTTGCTAAGCGTGTTCTCAAAAAGTTGAATATGAATTCTTACGTTTGGGACTGAGCCTTCGCTTTAGCCTTCGGCTTAAAGAAAATTAGCTAAGCATGTCCAAAGTCATACTTAGCATAACTGTTGAAAACGAAATTTAAAAGAAAATAAAGAAGTGTGCGAAGAAATAGAGAGAAAGCTAGAGAAAAAAATGAGATTTTATTTTCAGATCTGTGTGTGAGCTCAAATGTGTCTTCTTAGACTTACCATGAGAGGATATTTATAGCTTTTAAATTCTAAAAAACAAGCTAAAAATAATTCCTAAAATAATATCTTTTATACTAATTAAAATACATAAAACTATTTAAACTAAAATACCTAAAACAAAGATAAAATAAAATAATATTTAAAATAAAATCCTAATTGAAATACTAAATCTGTTTAAACTAAAATACAAAGATAAAATATAATATTAATATATATACTAAATAAACCCCATTCAAAAATAGATATCTACAATATCATTATTAATATAATATCGATTTGGAAAAAATAAATAATATTTAAATATAAAATAATCCTTATCTTTTCGATTATCTCAAATTCTCACTCAACCTGGTTCGAGTCGATTGAATGTTAAATTATAAATCACTGACTAATCACCGAGACAATTTTGGACAAAATCTGAAGGTAAAAAGAAGGGATTTTCCGCTAGAAGTGAGAAAACGAGGGAAAATAAAAGTGGAATGATTTAATATTTATCCTAAAACAAGGTTATTTAGAGCGACATTCCTACTATATCAACAATGGTTTTGTTTTGCCTTATCGGTGTTCCGCAAGCTCATTCTTTTGGGGGAGGTTAAGGTTGTGTCCTGTGAAACCCAGATACCTAGTCGCCATTCCAACGAGATCGACGGCCTGATTGCCGATATCACCTCATCGTATTACCATCTATAGACGATCGTCAAAATCTCCAACATGGGATGGGACCAGCCGACCAGGCACAACAACGTTCAATGGGAGAGTCTCTTCCTAACAACGGAAGGTGATTTCTCCTTTCTCTAATTTCCACGACCTTATGATCCCAATTCGCAAACGAGAAGGAAAATGGCCGTGTATGCATGAACAACAAAGAAATACTGCAAATCATTATGGTTTAAGTTTTAGAAATAGGTATTCTATTAACTTATGGTGTTCATTTGGTTAAAACGGTAGCCGATCGAACGAAATACCTTTAACCGAATTAATCGAATTTTTTTTTCTTTAACCGTTAATCGAACCGAACTTTTTTTTGAAAGTATTAACCGATCCGAAGAAATTTCGGTTAATTCGATTAATTTTCGAATTAACAAAAAAAATAAATAGAATTTAATATTTTTTTAATTAAAAAAACAATTTACAATTAATTTAAATAGTATCTAATTAATTTGATTCAAATATTTTGCATTTAGTTTTGAGATTATTTTAATTATTTAATATTAATTTGGGTTTTAAATGGATTGGGCCGGCTAAGTCTCTTAATATAATTATATTTAAAGGTTAATTTGATTAATTCAGTTAATTAATCGATTTCAAACCGATTTAATCGTTAACCGAATTCTAAAAAAATCTTTAACCGTTCCCCGATCGAACTAATTCGGTGACCAACTAAATTAACTGAACTAATTTAAATCGATCGATTAATTCGATTAAAACCGAATTTGAAACACCCTACCTATCATCATACAAAGGGCATCTCAATGACTTTAAAAATCGGCTAAGTGCCTTGTAAATGACCCCTCTATAACTATTTTTTATACGGAAGGGCGCTGTCAAACCAGCTGAAATAGTTAAAGTAAGGCTACTAATTGATAATTAGCTACTCTTCAGCATGTCACTTTTTGAGTTTTAGATTGCCAAAGCCGAGAATGCTATGTTTCGGAAAAACCCAGTGTTGTTTTGCAAATTTTGTGCTCGGATTCGGATGTATTTTCACATTTTCACGCCATTAAGTCTTTCTTTTGAAATGCTGGTTTGTTATGGACATGTGAATGTTGAGCTGAACCTGGAAGCTATGGATAAAACAAGGAATTGTAGGTGCAGTGCATACAATGATGAAGGCCTGCTTGAGGGACTTGATTGAATCTAAAATTCTATATTTCTTCATTCGGGAGCTTTTTAACTACTTATATATAAACATTTTAATCTCGTGGGAGTATTTCAATTAGAGAAAATAACCTCAGTGACCGAAAATTCCTTATAATATACGATTTTGATCAACTTTTTTTCGATTCTCCAAAATGACCAACAAAATCGCAATGTGATCTCCAGTATCGCAAATCAGTTTCCAGATTCGCAACGCGATTTTGACTATCGCATTGCGATTTTCCAAAATCGCGTTGCGAATATGTAAATCGCAACGCGATTCTGACTATCGCAACACGATAATACATAATCGCAACGCGATTCTGACTATCGCAACACGATTCTGACTATCGCAACGTGATTTTGACTATCGCAATGCGATTCTGACTGTCGCAACGCTAAATTTCAAATTCGTAACAGGTTTTAGTTTCACAACACAAATGTTTTGGGTATATAACTACGCCGCAGTAGCAGCAACTCATAACCTAAATCCCTAAATCGCAACTCATTCTATCTCTATCTATCACTCTCTCCGGCGACATCCATTCCTATATCCAACGACATCCTTCCCCATTCGGCAACATGTTTTAGTTTCGCAGCTTGTTTGTTTAGTAAATTAATTTACAATAATGAAATCATCTAATGTTGATCATGTTTGGATAGATTTGTGTTTTGGAGGGTCATGGGAGAATGCTCATGGTGTTTTACAATATATATCTTTACCCATGAATCTTCAACTAAAACTGTCATTAAAAAAGTTAACTTATGAAACTCTAATGTTACGTGATGCAAATAAATTGAATTTAGAGCCCTTAAGTGGATTTAGGCTACCTTATCAGAGAAAAGGTAAAGTTTATTTGTTAACCGACAATGAAGATGTTGAACGATTCATTGCTTATATTAGTGTTTCGCAAGATGATGTTACATTGTATGTTGTTGAACCTAGAAGTAGTGAAGTTGGGTCAGTAGCGGGTAGTAATCAACTAAGTTTTTCAACCCCAGTTTATGGTGCTCAAAATTTAATGGTTCCACCACAATTTCATCACCAAGCAAATTTTGTTTCACCACATTTCCAATACCAAACACAATCTCAAAACCCACAACCTTTCCCTAATCCAAATCCCAATCAACTTTCAGCACCAAATTTCGGTTTTCATATTGACGAGTTAGACGATGATGAGCCAACAAAAAAAATTGTGAGTACTAGTCAGTATTCGAAATTTGATCTTGGTCAATACCCGGACTTTGATCTTCGTCAATAATCGGATTTTGATGATGTTTCAGAAGAAGAAACAGACCCTGAATGTAATGATTTTGATATTGGTCAATACCTGAATTTTGATGATGAAACAGCCGCTGCCGAGGAAGATGTTGTTGATGATAATGAGGAGGAAGTTACGACTGTGAATGAACATATTGAATATCCATTCTGTAATTCATATAACCCTGAAGAAGAAAAAGAAGAAGAAGAAATCCCCGAAGAAAAGTCCCCGAAGAAAATGCCACGGGAGTATAACTGGAATATGCCAGAATTACTTCAGATACCGGAAGAAGAATTGGTAAAGATAGCAGTTGATTGTTACACAAAAATTATTCGTATCAAGAAAGATGATTGTTTTGATACAAAGGAAGACTTGAAGATAGCTTTGTATACGAAATGTGTGGAAGATGGCTATCAACTAAAAGTTAACAAATCAAGCAAAGATCGTTTTGAAATAAGGTGTATGATTGACAAAAAATGTACGTGGCGTATGATTGCAAAGAGGATAAAAGATTGCGAAATGTTTCAAGTTAAGACTTTTATTGATAAACATACATGTTCAAGAACCCAAGTTTTTCCTCGCCATAGACAGTCAAACAAAAAGGTGTTGGGTGGTTTTCTGGCCGAGTTAATTTTTTTAAATGGTAGGGTATATCGGGGACATGAAATTATGATTGACATGAATACTCGGTTCAAGATTAGTATCTCATATTCTCAAGCTTGGAGAGCCAAATGTTATGCCTTGGAATTGTTGAGGGGTCGCCATAAGCATCGTTTGCCCAACTACCGGCTTATTGTCACAATTTAAAGCTAAAAAATCCTGGGTCGGTAACTCATATCAAAACAGATAGAGATGGATGCTTTGAGTTGCTGTTTATCGCCATTGGTTCTACGGTTAGTAAATCAATATAATTTTGTTGACTCATTTTTGTTAGTTACATGCATTTCACATTTAAATGATTATATTTCTTGTGTATATGATTTTGTAGATTCGTTCATTTATTACTTGCATGTGCCCAGTTATTATAGTTGATGGAGCACATTTAAAAGGTCGATACCTTGGAGTAAACTTATTAGCAGTAGTCATGGATACTAACAATGGGATACTGCCAATAGCTTACGGGGTTAGCAAATCTGAAACCTCTGATTCATGGATATGGTTTATGGGGCATCTTAGGGATTGCATAGGTCCTATTAGCAATCTGACAATCATATCTGATAGGGCAAACTCAATTGACAACGCTGTTAGAAGGTGTTTCCCAGATGCTTTTCATGGACTTTGTGGTGTTTATTTGTATAGAAATCTAAAATCAAGGTCTGCTGGTATAAAAAATCACAAATGGACATACTGGAAGGCTGTAAAAGCTTATCGGGAAGTGGATTTTAATAAGCATATAAATTGTTTAAGACGTGTTTTGCCTCAGTGTGCTCAAACACTAGAAGATATCGGGTTTGAAAGATGGTCAAGAGTACATCAACTTGGAGCAAGATATGGTTTCATGACGTCTAATAGTGCAGAATCAATCAACGCTCTAAGTCGTCATTCCTGGAAATTACCCATTACTATGTTAATGGAGTTTTTTCGAGCCTCTATTCAACAGTGGTACTACAAGAAAAGAAACCATGCATGTATTATTTCTTTAAATTCGTAACTTATCATATATTTTACTAAGTATTATTTATTTAAATTTACAGGAACATTGGAACATCGTGTTACACCATGGACTGAAAAAAAGATAACGAAACATGTTGTGAAGTCAACTTCATGGAGAGTTGAACCATGTTCAAACACATTGTTTGAAGTACTGGATAATAACTTAAATGGGCTTGTCGATCTAAATACAAAGACGTGTAGTTGTATGAAATGGCAAACATCTGGTTATCCGTGTGGCCATGTTATAAAAGTTGCTCTTCATCTAAACCAAGATGATTCAAGCGCATACGCTATGGATTGCTACACTACAGAAGTATATCGACAGACTTATGCCGAGATTATCTACCCTATTCCATATCCTTCTGAGTGGGACATACCAGATGACTTACAAATAGTTTTGCCACCAGCCATGGACAGAAGGCTACTTGACCGACCAAAACGTCATGATCGTATACCGTCTAAGGGTGAAGAGAAGAAGAGATCGACATATAGTCGGTGCAAGGAAAGTGGTCATACAAGGTTGACATGTGGATCACCAATGCCATCACAATCATCTTTTCCTCTACCATAATATGGATCCTCATCAAAATCCAAAGCTCATATGGTGTCAAGAAAAAGGCAATCAAAATCGCAATCAAAATCAAAATCCCAATCACAACCGGCTTCACCTTTTGGGACTATTAACTTAGGTGATTGTTAAATGCAAACGTTGTATTATGTGTATTTTATGTGTAAACTTTTAACATTTTCAGTTAGGCATGTATTAGTAACTTGAGTTTGAACATTTCTATGATCTGTTCAGTTGTTATCACTTATTACACATTCATTTGAATATCGTAACGTGAATTTGACTATTATGTGTATTTTATGTGTAAACTTTTAACATTTTCAGTTAGCCATGTATTAGTAACTTGAGTTTGAACATTGCTATGATCTGTTCAGTTGTTATCACTTATTACACATTCATTTGAATATCGCAATGCGAATTTGACTATCACAACGCGAATTTGACTATCGCAACGCAAAAATCGCAACGCGAATTTGACTATCGCAACGCGAATATGACTATCGCAACGCGAGTTTGACTATCGCAACGCGAATTTGACTATCGCAACGCGAATTTGATTATCGCAACGGGAATTTAACTATCGTAACGCGATTTTTGCTTTCGCATTGCGATTTTGACTTTCGCATTGCGATTTTGACTTTCGCGTTGCGATTTTGAGTTTAGCGTTGCGAAAGTGTACCTTCAATATGATGCAGATTGAAATCAACAAATCAACTTTTACATTTCAATCAATTAAACAAGCACAAATAAAAATTATTTACACATCAATTAAACAAATCAACTTTTACAAATCAATTAAACAAGCAAAAAATGCTAATAATTCTTATTTTCCTCATCAATTAAACAAATCAGACTTTTAAGAATCAATTAAATAAAAAAAAAGTGTACCCCAGACAGTTGTTTATGCACCCATACATCAATTTCACACAGCTCACTTCAGGATTAACCTGCAGAAACCAAACATTTGCTCAAACAACACTTTCTACACATCTAAAACCAACAAACAGCAAATTATTATTGAATTCTAGGTACTTAAAAACACTTGCATTTGACTTACAAATTGTTTATGGACACTTTCATAACGCGGATGCAAGTAGGCAGCGTCTCGCATATATCGCTCTAGCCATAAAATACCGAAACCACAAGCCTACTGCACCTCTATCTCTATCAGTGGGAGGTAGAAACTGTGTACTTCCTGTCGTCAAACGCTCCAAGCACATGCATACGAGAGGACTACAATCCCCAATGGCTTCCTGCGTTTGTTGTGGCGCGGTCTCGTCTCTGATAACTGTAACATTGAACTTCTTTGGCTTATTGTTTCCAGAATAAGTCCAATAATTAATCGCATCCAAGAATTTAGCCAAATGAGAGCTCCATCCCTTAATAATATCTCTCAAATCAGACAATGATATGTAATTTATCATGCTGTCATATACTATTATCTTCAGGGATGGGAGCTGAAGCCCGACGAGAA